GCTGCAGGATGCTGTGGTAGCCATGCTGATTCAGTGTGCCTTCAATTTTGAATAAATCCCCAACAGTGTCACCAGCAAAACACCCCCACACCATCACACCTCCTCCTCCATGCTTCACAGTGGGAACCAGGCATGTGGGAACCAGGCATGTGGAATCCATCCGTTCACCTTTTCTGCGTCTCACAAAGACACGGCGGTTGGAACCAAAGATCTCAAATTTGGACTCATCAGACCAAAGCACAGATTTCCACTGCTCTAATGTCCATTCCTTGTGTTTCTTGGCCCAAACAAATCTCTTCTGCTTGTTGCCTCTCCTTAGCAGTGGTTTCCTAGCAGCTATTTGACCATGAAGGCCTGATTGGCGCAGTCTCCTCTTAACAGTTGTTCTAGAGATGGGTCTGCTGCTAGAACTCTGTGTGGCATTCATCTGGTCTCTGATCTGAGCTGCTGTTAACTTGTCATTTCTGAGGCTGGTGACTCGGATGAACTTATCCTCAGAAGCAGAGGTGACTCTTGGTCTTCCTTTCCTGGGTCGGTCCTCATGTGTGCCAGTTTCGTTGTAGCGCTTGATGGTTTTTGCGACTCCACTTGGGGACACATTTAAAGTTTTTGCAATTTTCCAGACTGACTGACCTTCATTTCTTAAAGTAATGATGGCCACTCGTTTTTCTTTAGTTAGCTGATTGGTTCTTGCCATAATATGAATTTTAACAGTTGTCCAATAGGGCTGTCGGCTGTGTATTAACCTGACTTCTGCACACAACTGATGGTCCCAACCCCATTGATAAAGCAAGAAATTCCACTAATTAACCCTGATAAGGCACACCTGTGAAGTGGAAACCATTTCAGGTGACTACCTCTTGAAGCTCATGGAGAGAATGCCAAGAGTGTGCAAAGCAGTAATCAGAGCAAAGGGTGGCTATTTTGAAGAAACTAGAATATAAAACATGTTTTCAGTTATTTCACCTTTTTTTGTTAAGTACATAACTCCACATGTGTTCATTCATTGTTTTGATGCCTTCAGTGAGAATCTACAATGTAAATAGTCATGAAAATAAAGAAAACGCATTGAATGAGAAGGTGTGTCCAAACTTTTGGCCTGTACTGTATATGTGTCTGAATTATATAGTTTTTATCCCTCACAAAATAGCAGGGAAAAAAACAGATTGTATTAAATGCCCTCTCTTCTCCAGAGAATAATCATAGCATCACATTTGTTTAACAGAGGACTAGGAGGACAGTCAAAAACATCTGTGCTTCCTCTCTCAAACGACTGCTAAATGGAAGTTTGATGCAGTGAAAATCTTTGTTTTAAATAATAAGATAATATGGCTGACTCTAGGTGAGCCACTGTTAAGGAAACTAGATTGTCTATGTATGAGAAGTTACTAACAGCCGGGAGAGCAGACAGCAGCTTCAACAGCCCACAGTATGAGTCAGCCTTCCACAGTGCAGAGCATCTGCTGCTTCAGATCTGACACCAGTGATCACTCTGCCTGCCTGCAGATCCCGAGTGCTGATAGCTGCACTGGGGACCTCACAGCAGCTTTTACAGCAGCTAGCTCTGCAGCACACAGAACGTTGGGTTGGGATCCTTCTCAGATACAACAGCCTGTAACAGCAGCATGTTTGCTCACACGGCACAGCTTTGATTAATTTTATTCAAAATGTCCTATTATTCTGCTCTTACACATTTTTAGTATAAGGGGGAAATGCCAACAAAAAGTGTGCTCTGTGCAGTGGCTTTGCTGATAGAGAGCAGCAAAAGCTACAGCCACAAAGAATGTGAACACAGGCCATAAAACATCAAACAACAAGAGCTGAAACAACTTGGGATCCAAAGGTAACGGTTTCCAAACTTGAGTGGGAGTCTTCCTACAACAATATACTAACAACCAAGAGTAATTTATTGTTAGTTGCAAGATGAATATGCCTACTGAGCTGTGATCCCCGGCCTTTTCCTCTGGCAACATCAGCAGTTCAAGTTGTTCACTTATCCACTCGGGCACAAACTATTGTACAGGCATTCATGATTCCTAAAGCATTTGGGAATGTTTGTTTCTAATGCTTCAATAACTATTGGATCAGGCTGTTTTCATGGACTGTTTGTAGGTACACCTACAAAAACTAATGCACCAGAATTTGTATATAACCCACGTAATAATGAGCCACGGATTTATGTATAACCCACATAATCATGAAGACTGCTATCACGTGACCAGTGTGCTGACAGGAGTAAAGACAGAAGTCGTATAAGCAGCAAGAGTCTGCGTAAAGGGGCAGGATGGGGTGGTGGATGGGTCAAACAACACAGGACTTTCCCCCAAGAGACCGGTGTTTGTGTCCTGTGTGAAACCAAATAAAATTTGAGTTAATTTCAAGTATGCCATCACCATGTTTTCTTTTCCTAAACCTAATCTACGTAACATTACGTTAGGTGCATAACATGACGATGCACAACCATGTTTCTTTTCTTTTCCCTGAACCTAACATGCGTAACTTAATGTTAATTATGTAACTCTACATTAGCTGTGTAACTTGACGACTCCACTTGTAGGGCACTAATCATACGACATTCATTTGGTGAAAAACAAAGAGTAATAAAAACCAGGATAGCAGAACACACAAGCTGCATCTGGAACCAGGATCAGCGTAACTAACAAGTGACACTTCAGAGAGGTTTATCACCCAGTGGCCTCTCTCAGATACATTGGTATTGAGCATGCTATGTGCCTCAGAAGAGGAGGCTATTTACAAATGAAGATTTTACAATTTCACTCTCCAGACTCTTAGACCTAGAGATCTGAATCATGAGTGTGAGATCAAACATTTTCTCTAAATTAAATAACTGTAGTCCAGTCAGGAACACTTTAGGCAAAGAAAACTTTGTTTCCATTTATGGTATTATATTTGGTGGTATGGCTTTGTTCTGGGGCCCCTCTGTAATTTCTCTGGCCTATGCAGAAAGCCTCTTCCATGTGCTTACGTGGAAAGCATAAGGCAGACAGGCAAACCTCCCTGCCCTTCCATGTGCCTACATGGAAAGCCTAAAGCAGGGAGAGCAGCAGGGAACAGAACAGAGCCAGTATCAATGGCAAACAGAAATGACATTGATAAGTCAGACACAGCTTGAAAAGGAGGAGCTGGGATGGAGGTTGGTTGCAAAGCAGCTTGAAGAGAAAGCAGCAACAGTAGGCAGGCAAGAGCAGTTTAAATAGGGCACCCAGCTGCTCCATCAGTTGATTGGGCTGTCTGAGATCAGCTGATGTAGCTGGGATGTGAGTTGAGCTTGACACTGTGTATTTGTACAAGCATTTGTAAAAAAAAAAAAAAAAAAAAACTTCTTTTTTTTTTATAAATACAACAGCTGTGGTTTTGATCTAACTAACTTTTTATAAGGGTGTTTAGACCCAGTTTCCAGATTTCTTCTGTTTTAACTTAACACAATAATATAGTACAATATTTGAATGTAGGTGATGTGGACTGATACATGGAATGATGAATTTTCTGTGTTTTATAGATTAAGATATGTGTGTGATGTTTTGAAATATGGCTTTTATATTGCTGTTTTTTTCTACACTTTATTTAATTGTTTACTGTCAACTGTTTGACCACCCTGAGTGGTTCAGATGGTTAACCACATCTACCATCACAGAGCTTATCAGCCTATTAGTGTGCATTATGCAAAAATGTAGGTACAACCTGACGAAGATCCAAGTAGGATCCAAACGTTGTCTTTTTTAAACTTTTGTGGAATGGATTAAGTGTGCAGGCGTTACCTTTTCTTCATATGCAATCATGTGCCCATCTGGATAAATAATAATAACATATGTTTCTTTTATGGTCACAAACCTGTCTACTGTAGTCATGTCATGTATGTTGTTTTCATGTATGAAACTGGAACACTCTTTTAGAGCCTTGGATTTATATAACAGTATATCACAGGAAGGTCTATAATCCTGTGAAACTAGATACCCTGAGTATAAAATGAACAAATCAAATAATAAATAAAGACTAAATGTTTGGGGGGGGGGGGGTGGCAACAAATTCACAGGGCTTACGGATAAACACTGTTTTGTTTTAAAAATGACATAATTACAGATTATTAAAAAAAACAAACTTTTTTTCTGCTGCGTACCCTGTACTCCCCTTTTAATAATTAAGCTAATTAGGGAGTGAAATCCATTACAAACTGAACGCAGTTTGGCAGTTGGTATTGTATATACACATGTTGTTTACTCAAGTGTGATAAACAAAAGATGATTTTCAGATGATTTTAAAGGAAAATTATATGCGTTTTATTTTTCAAAAATAGGTTTTTAAGATGTAAATCACAACGAGGGTGAGCATCGTGATTCATATCAGGCGTGCTTTTGTGTGTGGGATGAGAGAAAACAAGAGAAAATGCATTTATAAGTTAAAGGGTTAAAAGGTGGCCAGAAAAAAAAGCATGTCAAGGTGGCCATATGTACAGTATGTGTGGGTTGGGGAGCAGGTGTTTTCCTCCAGCTGTGATGAATCACCCTGTCTTCCTCCTCCTCCTCTTCACCCCCGGCCACAAGAGGAGGTGATACACTGAAACCACCAGGAGGTTCCTGCTATCAGCCGTCACCTCTGCCACGCTGCCAAAATGTCAGAACTTTGCATCTAATCTGTCTCGTTACAACTGTGCGCCTGCACTGAGACTATTTCCATTTCTGTCACTGCAGCTCGGTGTGAGAAGGCTACGCTTTCTACCCTTTCAGAGTTTGAAGGATTCACAAAGCTATGATTTACTAAATTTAAATTAAACTCATGCTTACACATGACCATTTTTAATAAAACCACATTAAAGGAACCTCATTAAAAAGTTTTTATGCATTCAAATATTGCCCAGTGTATCAGATATTTTACCTCTTAACTATCAGCACTGGTATCACACTCAAAGATCATGGATCAGTCAGGCTTTAATCAATATTTAACCATTACTGCCACCCATGTGTCAGTAGCTTCATACTCACTCTGTGTCAGTGATGACATAGCCGAACACATCATCGTCTGCCTTCTTCCTGCCCACTTTGACGTCCAGCTGGAGTTCCGGAACGTGCATCGTCTTCTTGTGCGGCTCCTCATACACAAGCGAAGCAGGAGGGGGCACCACCTCCTTGATCCAGCCCTGCACCTCCGACACCTCCTCCACAGACTGGGTGCCGTCCTTCTTCTGCACCTTCACCCCTGCCTCGCTGGTCCGGCTCTGGACATTTTCCAGGCCCACCTGTTGGCCTTTGGGTGTTCCCATGGCAACGTTGTCACGATTTCTTGCTGAAGGAGAGGCGCCGAAGGAAGTTTTGTCCAGGTAGGCGAGAAGTTTGGTGAAGAGGGTTCCACTCTCAGGCTGAAAAAAACAAAACACATGAACTACAGTTACAAAATGATACTGACTATTTCAGCTGATACAGTTAAAAAAGCTGAAGACAAACAGCATTTTAGGCCTGAAATCAGAGTAAGAAAAAAAAGGTCTGACTATAGACATCCATTTTAAGCTTCTGAAGCCTCAACACATCTCCCCCCACAGCTGTTTCCACTTATTGTGCCTGATTAGACCTCTCTGCACTGTGTGAGTGTCTGCTATCTCTTGATTGACATCTTCTAGTTGCACTAGGAAACGAGGAAACTACACTACCTCACATCGATAGCCTGCCTTTTTTTTTTTACATCCACTGTCTCGTTAAACCAAGAAGATGAAGAGTTCCAGCAATTTCTACACATGCAATCAAATGCAATTCATGCATTTGTGTTAGTTTATCAAACACCTTCAGGTTCATCACCACCTTCTTCTCCTGGCCTGGGAGAGGGCAGATTTACACGTAGCTGGGAAAACCAAGACAAATGTATACAGTGTATGTGGCTGAGTGTAAATAAAAGTCTCATGTGGACCCCCAAGTTGAGGTCACCAAAGCTTCAGAGGATCGCAAGGCCTTCTTGATAATAAGAGGTCTTTATAGCAAGCTTCTATCTCAGCATTTCATTCATTTCTGCGAAGAAAACTGAATGAAATTGTTATTTTCAAGGATTAGCTTATTATTTAGAATGCAAAGGGCACAGTGAGGACCTGAACACAAGTTATATTCACAGAGCCTTTACTCTCTGCTCAAGAGCCTCATCCTACACTCGAGAAGGAGCTGATAGAACTATCAACTATAGAACTACAAACAATTAGGTATGTATGATTAAAAAAAAAAACAAAACAAACAAACAAAAAAAACATAATACAGAGAATTATACAAAACGTTCTTCAAAATATTTACAGGAAAAAATCTGATTAATATTCATTCAAGTCCATTTAACACAAAAAACTTCTGGCTGTTATTGCATTTAATATTTGGATTACTTGTTCTTGGTTATCAACTGTAGTCTTGTTATTTATATGCAGTGAATATAAAATGAAATATTCATAAAATACAAGACTTATTCAGAGGTCGTCAGTTTACTCAGTGATATTAAAAGTGGTGCCTTGAGGAAATGTTGGAAACCACTATTTTAGACAATCGTGGGCTTCCAGTTTTTATTTGTAAGAATTGGTTTTCCCAGTTTGGTGTGGATACACTTGACTAGTCTACACAGAGCCGTGACCTCAACCCAATCCAACACCTTCAGGATGAACTGCAACACAGATTGAGAGCCAGACCTTTTCACCCAACATCAGTGCTGGACCTAACTGAAGATCTAATGGTTAATGGAAGTCAATCCCTGAGGCCAGGTTCAACAAGTGGTGGAAAGACTGAAACCATAACTCGCACTACACTGCAACTGCACTTTAATTTTCATTCTCCTCCTTTATCATCCTATCTGTAATTCTATTCTACGTCATTTTTATCTTCTATTTTATTTTACTCTTTTACATTCTAAGTGTGTCTTTCTATATTGCCTTATGACTCTTTTCTTAGTGCCTTTTAGATGTTATGAAAAGGACTTTGTTGCCTTGCTGCTCATTGCTTTAGAACTACTTTAGAAATGGAGAGAAAGAGAGGCGATGACATGCAACAAAGGGCCTGGTGTTGAAATCGAACCTGCAGCTGCTGCAGCAAGGACATGGCCTTTGTACATGGGGCGCCCACTCTACCAGGTGAGCTAGTGGGTGCCCCGGCCCAGGTCCACCTGATACAGAGACTTGAAAGGCAGGCCTGTGAGACCATTCAGCATGGTCTGGAGGTCCCACTAAAGGGGGCCTCAACCTGCAGAACCCCCACATGAGGCGTTTCACCAGTGGATGGCTCCCAGCTGTGAAGCAGTCTAGTCCGTTGGGCCTATATATA